GGAGGACTCGGCGCCCCCCGACCCGCCGGCCTCGCCTCAGACACCGCGCGGGCGCGGTCTCCCCCCGGGCCCGCGGTGACCGGCCGGCGCACGGAGCGCGCTCTGCCTTCTCCTCCAGACGGCTGGCAAAAGGGACCCGGGCTTTCTTGGGGTAGACGGGCAGGGCCAGGTTACAGACCACGGTGACTCCACGTCCTGCTACAAGCAGAGATGAAACTGTAATTAATTTGCTTTTCCACAAAGCACCGGGCAGAGCAGCTGCTCCTGGCACCTGCTGCGCTGCTCAGCTTAACATCTGGCTGCTGCTTTTGCATCACTTGAAAGTTTACCTTCTGTCAGTAGGCATCAGCCATTTAAAAAAACAAAACACACACACACACAACCCTTTAATAAAATCGAATTTATTCAAAGAGATGGCTCTTCAGTATTCTGTATCCTGTAGTCCCCCAAGGAGAAGGGCCTATGCTCCCAGGCAGAGCCATTACACCAGTTAACTCCTCCGCACGCCACTTCTCCGTCTGTAACACAGGGAGAGGGATGTTTATGTAGTTAGTGGTGTGAAAACCTACATTCTTCTAACATCTTCCTCTCTTTCCCTCCCCCCAGAAAAAAAGATTCTTGTAAGGAGTGCTTTCGGTAATATAATTGCCAGATTCCCATAATTGCCATATGCCTTTGAGATGAACAAAACAATCACCCAACACCCTTGTTTTCTTAAGTTTGGGGGGATAGAAGGAACCCCACCCAGCCTGATACAGTGAAAGACTTGAAAGTGGGACGTCTACTCATGTACCCGTAAAGAAATACATATACTTACAGGTTTCTTATAGGTTTGTTAACAGCAATCCACTCTGTAAATATGTTTAACTTCTTCAGCTGTTTCTTCTTAACAGAATTATGAAGTATTACTTGTACATACTGCTTATTTGTTTCATCTATTATTGACAGACACTGCCCTGGCAAAGGCCAGGAAACAAAGAGACAAGTGTTTAGATTGGGTAGGGGGAGGATATGCACCACTTCAAATCTGTTCTGTGGTAAGACTTCCACATCCAATTTTCTCAATTCAAAGAAAATTTTCAGTTTCTGTTGGTGTAATTACTCACAATTTATCTCAGATGATTTGGTTCAAAAAACAAAGGCATATCTTGTGCAAATTTGTCTTCAACGCACCGTCTCCTTTTAGTAGTGACTTAATCTCTTCTGAAAGAATCAGACCACTCCCAAATTCAGGTGAACTAAGACAAGATTCTTACAAAGGAATGTTTTCAGCATTTCCTCTTCCAAAGACATCAGAAATACCAGATTTATGACTGCAGTCAGATGTCAAAGCAGTGATACAGGGGGAAAAAAAAATATCCTTACCATTACAAACAACAATAAAAAATACCACTCTAATATAGAACTTTGTATTCCAGAGATCTCAAAGTATCTTAGGAATAAGATAGCTAGCATCTTAGAAAACTAGCAACAGGCCACAAAGAAAGGATGTAACTTACCAAAGTTTGTTGAAGAACTGAAAAAATAATAAACTTGAAGAGCAGGACAAGCTCTAGCCCACTGGCATATCAGAATGTAGGATCACCTCCAAAAAAAATAGGTTAAATCCCGTATGAACTTCATCAGTAAAATTATGGTCTATCCAAATTGGAAATATATCAGAAATACTAGTGTTAACTTTGTCTAGTGAGAGGATGAAAATCTACTTCTGATACTTCTGTTAGCTAACAACCTGAACTTTAAATAAACCATCAGTTGTTGAAGGAGGAAATATGTTGCAAATTGCCGTTTACCTTTCAAGACCTGCACAGGAGAAGGGTGAAACTGTAATTCTGAAATCTAATAACAGATTATTTTTCTTTAACCCCACCTGGCTTTATATTTTATTTCCAAGTGGGTTTCGCTTTATTTTTACAAGAACAACCTAATAGGAGCTGAAACTGGCATAATACATATTTACACAGCAGGTCCATGAACAGCTCTTCTTAACTCTAGTTAGGAGGTCTACTTCCTTCTTGCTTTGCATTTCTTTCATACTTTGTATGACCATCCCTGAAACGTCCTATAATAAAGAGATGGGTCAACTGAAATAAATTCAGAGGAAACCAGGTAATAAATTCTGAACAAAACTAGAAGCAAACATGACCTATAGGAACATATAAGTATTTGAAGTCATGAGTAAAACTGTTCAGGAACTGGGTTAGAGTGTCCTTTTTCTTCTGACTGCCAGAGCAGTAGCCATGAAACATTAACCAGACTCTCAGTGAACTATTTTTCACTTCCTTGGAGGGTGCACGCTCTTTTAGCACAAGGTGAAAAGCAAAACATTAATACATCTGTGACTTACTACCTAGGAAGCTTAATGACTAATTTATACCCTAAATTTATCATTGAGCAAAGCTCTTTTCCTACCAAAGATCAGCCTTTAAGCTACAGCGAAGGAAAAGTCCACATCTCCCAGGAGTCTTATTAAAGTTAAAATGTATTTTACAATGCTCCAACTTTTACACACACACGCTGGGAACTTTTAGAGCACAGGAAAACAAAACTTAAGTCACTAGTACCTTAACTACCTCTTAAGTTGCTGAGATCTGTAAAAGCAAATATCTGTGTTCTGAGTAACTCTCATCTACCCCATTGTACCTAGTCATTGTGTAGAAGTACGTTAACAGTCCTGATTAAACTTCTCTTCTAGGAATTCATCATAACCTCTTCCTGCTCTGCACTTTCCTTTAAATGTTATCAGAGACACACAAATTAAAGTCAGGTATTGACACCTCTTACCGAGCAAACAGCTTGCTTCAGATAACATCCTGTTTTGCACACTTACAGAATTCACAAAATTCTTTTTCTCAGAAGCCATGTTTAAACACAGGCAGTCACCCACAGCCACTTCTGCATTAGTGTTTGTTCTTTCCTTTTCTTCACTTTCTTTTAGTTTACTTTCTAAATAGAAACATCTATTCCAGTTCAAGGTCAAAGCGCAAAGGTATCTTTTACTTTCTCTCTGATACTGATAGGTGTAAGTAACTATGACCTTCCTGGAAAAAAATCACAAAAAAAAAAAATTAATCAGTCCATAGCAAGGAAGAACCAAATAGGCAGCAGCAAGTATCCTGATGCTGTAGCAGGTGAGATGGTTTGTCTTCCACTGGATATTAAAATACCTCAGTATAACAAAAGTGCAGTTAAGTTTTGGGTGCAAGTTGAACAAATCTTCCAAGGCCACAAAGCACATTAATCATATGAACACAGAGGGATTAGCTGAAATTCAAACACAAAAAATAGCAGGTGGCAAGAAAATTATGGAGAGTGAAGCAATAAAAAACAGGTCAGATCCCCTGACCTTCTCTTTGCTCCCCTCTCCTTTTGTGAGTTGAAAGCCTCCACAGAAGTAGCAGATCTGAGGCTTGGACAAACACCACCCCAGAAATGTGGTTAGAGCCAAAAATAATATGTGCTGCCAAGCTAGTGTCAGAGCTTGTGTTGACAGCTGTGAGGTTTGCAAGAATTCCTCTAGAAGCACAGGCAACCTTCTCTTGCAGGCAGCAGCCTTCATCCCATCGGCAGATATTCCCTGAGGCATCACTGGAGCAATTCTCAAGAATTATTTACACCTCAGCATGCCTCAGGAGCCGTTTTCTAAAGCGGTGACAGAGTCAAAAGGGTAAATACCTTATGCTGAATGGGGGATTTAAAAAAAAAGGATAGTTTAGAAACAATAACACCAAAGGGTAAGCTAGAGGTAAGGTAGAAACAGAGTATTTCCGAACAAAATACAGAAAAAAGCCAGATAAGGTTGAAACACCAGACCTGGGTGAGGTTTATTTTAGAAGTTTTAGAAACCAAAAAGCAACCTATGTTGTTTTTTCACATGCACAACAGTAACTTCTGCAGTTTTCAACAGTATTGAACATTCACTGACCAAGTTTAACACCAAAGAAGCAGTCAATACCTGGAGTTTCTGAACCTTAACATAGCAGTGCAAGGAACACTGCTGCCAAATGCTTCTCTCTTGCATGTGCAGAGATTGCCCTTTTGTTCTCAAGGTCAACAGACAAGAGCAAAGAACAGCAGCATTGATCCCAAAAGTTCAAGTGTTCTTCGTGTACCCAGCTAAACTCAGTATACTGTCTGTATACATCCAGATTTGAATTCCATGTTGTAGAAGCATCCCACGGATGCAAAAATATCAGACATTTGCATTGCCTAACACTGCACTGTCACGAAGAAAACACAAGATGCATATGTGAGTTAATTTTAGGAAAAATTAGTAAAACTTACAAATTTATTTTGTAAATGAAATACAGAGTACACAGAACAAGGATTCTGCCACAAGAGTGGAAAACGAGTGGTTTGCAGAACAAGAGCTTAATGAATTTGCCATAACCAGAGCTAGACTCTTACCAGAAATTTTTTTAACAGTTATATTAAAACATTAACCAGATGTGAAATAAAGTTTCTAATACCACCATTAATTTCCCAAGCAGCAGCAATACAAGACTCAGGGTACACGTTTGCCTTTCTTCGATTTTTATTTGTTTGGTAACTTCTCTCCTGTTGTTTTGTATGAAAGGCCTTCTCAGACTTCCAGCTTGAGAGAGGAAAGTAGTGTCTAGATCACAGACACATGTTACTACTGCCTGCTTGGTTCTACTCATTTGTTTGCTGTTTCACCTAAAACATTCCCTTACTGCCCATTTGTGCATGCTTTCTAGCCTTTCACACAGTTACACAGATTCCCTCTGCATGCGGTCCCTTTATTATCATTGTGCCCAGGAACAGGTTGCTGTCTGCCCCCAACCATTTTTGCTCCAAAAAGCTTTAATGTCTGTTGTGCATTTAGGACTACATTATTATTAGGAAAACAAAAAATCTTAGAACAGTTCAGAAGCATCCATAACATTTAATACATTTTTTGTCTTCCGCTGGATATTAAAATACCTTAGTATAACAAAAGTGCAGTTAACAGTTTTAGGTGTAAGTTCAATAAGTCTTTCACAACAAATGTCACTTTTTGCCCCTCACCTCAGGCTAAACAACAAGCTTATCAAGAACATCAGTGTCACAAGTGTTTGCACGTTTTTTCAGTACAGTAGAACTTGGGTACAGAGTATTTAAATTATTTTCAGAACGTCCATCTCCTTTTCAAATGGTTCTTTACAAATCAATATTCAAATCTCAGTTTTCATGCCAAATAGCAACCACCAGATAAGTAAGGTATACAATTCAAAGTATTACTGTTATGCATCAACACAGGGAAGTACCCCATCACCTTTTCCTTATATAGGACCAAGTCTTAAGCTTCAATGGGATGATTACTTCTTTGGTAAAGCTGTACTGGATGACAAACACAGTTTCTGGCTCCTGCTCACAGTAATCAGTGAAATTCAAATCAGTAAGTAGCAGACATCTTTGTCAACAAAATTATTTCTTCTTTTATTTATAATTTTGTTTAGTATATATATTCATTACATTGTTTTCTTTTTTAGTTAAATATTTCTTTTACTTTCAATTAACAGCAAAGGCAGCAGTAAGCCTGGGAGTGCTGAAGTAGTAGTATACAGCTGTTGAAACACAAGAGAAATCTGGTAAGAGTAACAATGAAATGTAAACATAAATCAATTTCACACAATAACCTCACATCATCAGTACAATTGTGCTTCTCTATTAAATTTGTTTTTAATGGAAAAATGCTATAGTAAATATGGTAATGTACACTTAATTGGAACAAACTCAGATATATAATTATTTGCATTAGGAGGGAGTCCAAAGGCTACAGAGAACTGGAGACTAAGTTTCTGGCAAGAGACAGGAAGAAACTGCAGAGTTGGAGGTAGGAACAGCAAACTTCTAGTACTTGTAAGGGCTAAAATTCAGTTTACCACATGATTCTTAAGAGGAGAAAAAAAATGATCAAACCTAGAAGATTGAGTCTGATGTAGAAAAAGAGAAAGCCACAGTACTGACATACATTTGCATCCTTTAAGATAATGACCTCGACAGGTACTGTGCAGTTCAAACTGAGAGCAATAGCCTGTTCTTCTGTTTTCAAAAATGGTTACTTAGCAATCTGCAGTTTGCAGCAAAGGACATTTAGTATGGATACAAGACAAAAAATTACTGGTAAACTTTTAACAGTCTAGCAAGCAAGTTCATGAACTCCTTTCTCACTTGAAGTGAGGAAAGCAGAAGTTAACTAAACCTCAAATACATATCCTTTGATGTCCAAAGGTAGAATTAGAGAACCGTAACATACGTCTGGAAAACACTGTCAGAAATACTAAACCTTTATTACTTCAATTAATAGACTGGGCCACTGACAAGTAGAGAAAGGTCTCAACATGTTAATTATGCTCCAGTTTTGGCACAAACCAAGTATTTAGACTGATCTGAAAACAGTTAGCCCTTGACTTTTCTTCTGTACAGTTTCCAGTTTCTAGTGGTCTGTAGTAGGCTACAGTGCTGAGGCAGGCAGCACTCCTACCACCACACTGGAACAGTCACTGCTGTTAAGCCAGACAAATGAGCTGTCAGCATATCATACTCAAACTGAAGAAACTGTTTTAAGGGTTTCTTGATTGGGAGTTATTTAGTGGAATGTCTAAGTCTAAAAAGAACAAAGTTATCCATCCGATACCTCAAAATTTATCTGATATCTCAAAATTCTTTTTCACAAGAATCCCGTTGGCCAGGTGTCCAATTAAATTGATTTCCAGTAAATACAAAAACATTTAGAAAAACATTAAAACAAGATGCACTAACATTGTTTGAGAATATAGTTCAATCTTATGAGACTCAGTTTCATTATTTCAATTTGATTAGCTGTGTAGTAACTTTACTACTTGGGTTCAAGTATTATTAGCAGAGGGTACCAAATGGAAAAATTTATAGATAAAAAGATGCAGTAACAGGCAAATATACTGGCCAGCATGATCTTGTTGATGTCACCCTCCACGTTCTGATTTCTTGAAATACTAATCAGTGCAACCATACTCAGAACCCTGTAACTGAAAGACCTCTGCATTTGCAACATTTACTCTAAATACACTTAGACAATATTGGGAGAAAATACTGAATTAATGATTGGTTTTAAACAAAGCTTTCCAATGATCACTCATTCACAAGTTTTTAAATAAAAGTTTATTACAGAAATTATTTTGAACAAAAAAAAGACAACAGTATCTGTTGTAATAAAAAAAAAAAGAAGTAATATTGTATTCATGCCCTATAAGGTGAACTGAAGAAATGCTACAGGTACTTCTTCCGCTGTCATTCTGTGATGCTTTCTACTATGAATTAACTCACATCTGCAACACAAGAATTAAGTATGAACACAGTCCCTTTCCATGCTTCTCTTCAGAAAGTGCTGCATATTAACAGAAAAATATTGCAGACAAACCACAGTTCTATTCATTCTGCAGTATTGGAACCAGTGTCTAGGAAAGAAAAAAGAAAGTGTGAAGAATACATACCCCTGCTATCATTGATTATAAATAGAACCAATACTATTCTCTAATACCTTCCCCAAGCTCAAAAGCATTGCCCAGGCATTTTAGAACATGTTCTGCACCTACTCAATTCCTTCCACTGCTATCAATGCAATGCATGAACTGCTTATGCTGTTTCCCTTCAGTTAGCAACACTGAAAAGAGCCAGCACAAAACTTCAAGGTTGTGCACACACATCATTTGCTATTAAGGCATTAAAAATATAAGCAGCTTTGCTCTAACTAGTAGTGATACACAAACACTTACTGCCATCAGCCACAAGCAAATCTGGCTAAATCACATGATCAACTAGAAAGAAAGGGTTTTACACATCCAGTATCATAAACGGAGTGCAGGCTATAGTTCATTATGCATTTTGAAGCTGACGCAAGAACGAGCATCAACTTCATAAAACAACCGAGAGCAATTCTCTGTTCTGATCTTTTGTCGGCAGCACCAGTTAGCACCAGTGCAACTTCTGGCATTACTACCACTACTGCTTTCTTGTTCTATGGAAAAAATACATAACTTGGATACAGAGAAAGACAAGTCAGTGTTTGTTATATTCTTTAGCAAGTCAACTTCTTGAAGGGGAAAAAAAGGCTGTAATGTTAATAGCAACTTTAAGTCACCCAGGTCTTTAAATCTTATCAGCATACTTTATCAAGAGTGAAAACTATGAATACTTGGAAAGTAAGGTTTCCTCTACTAACTATAATAAGCACACAGAAAATAAAACAGTAAGATTATATGCTTGGCTAATACCAGAAGTTAAGCAAACAATAAATTTGGTCAACTCTTTAGAACTACAATTTGAAGTCACTACAATGACTACTGTAATCATGCCAGGATCAGGCACCCATGAAGAACCTGTTTCAGAGGTCTAGGGTATATTTAAAATAAAGCCTTTTCCATTCCCTGTCCTTCCTTTTAGCATCACTGCCAGTGATGAAACAAGTAGCACCATTTCACACGTCTTTAGTGATACTCTGCCACACTGATGGTTTTAAAAATTATAAACCAGCATGCCACAAAAGTCACTAAATGACTTTTTCCAGCAAAGAATTCCAAGGAACACTGACAAAAGTAATCCAGTCAAGCAAACGTGGAACAAACTCCTCTAAGCAGTGTACATACAGTGGGCCTGTTGAGCAGTACATAAATCTTATGATTTGCAAATGCTTGGGTCCCCTACTATCAAATCCAGCAAACAACTGCTTAAACAGTTCTCAGACAATTGCTTGCTCAGATGGATGGACAGTCAGTAAAACATGGTGCTGTTCTAACCAACAGGTTAATACTAGAAAAATCACCACAGAGAAATTCAATTAAGATTAGCTCCGACTTTGTCATTGCCACAGTAGTATGTACTTCTCAACAACAGTCTCTGACACATTATGAATTAGGGAAGCATTTAGCCTGCTGTTGTTTCATTTCTCATCATACATAAAAGGGATTGCAGAGACCTACTTTTGTCTGAATAATATAATCAATCTAGCTTTAATCAGACATTTGGTCAAAACTTTCTATAAACGATCAAGTATTGTGTCTCAGTATTCCATACTTACTTTTTCCATCACATGCTACAATTTTCACTTTATCCACTTTGACAAGTTCAGTGACCTCCCTAAATTCAACATCGTTCAGTACAAATGTCCATACGTTGTCACAGAACCTGTATGTATTCAGAGACCCCTTTAAAGAGACAAGAGACATTTTCTATAGGATGCATCCCAAAAATAACAGAAAATATGTTTAGTATCTACTAAACTACATACCTCCTAGAACTAGGTTTGCCATAAAGCCAACTGTAAACCTGAATGCATACAAACTTGGCAAGCAGGCAATTCTGAAGAAAACTGTAGTTTAAATGCCCTCCAGTAGCTGAAATTTTCAAGACCATGTAGAGACTTTAGTCTATCCAAGGGGAAGCTTCAGAGGTACGCTGAGTTTTGTTAACTTTTCTAGTATGTATAAAGGATCAGTATCAGAAAAGATTCCTTAAAGCACGGGGCATAAGAAAAATCAGTTACAGCCATGATCATAACAAAATGTGAATTCTGCAACTGTTTAAATAAAAAGATCACGACAAAACAAACCTATGAGACATAAAGGAATATCCCTCATGTTTGATGCATTATTAAGTATGTTGAATATGTAAATCTTTTGACCTTTACCTTCACATATTTTAACCTGGTAGTCCTGAACTTAAACTCCAAGTAACATTTTTTAAAATTTCTCCACTAAACCCATTCTGAACAGTTTTCTATACTGTGTTACATACACAAAGCAAATTAAGCGTGCTGGAAAAAAAGAAGTTACGCTCTTTTTAAGGTATCTATATGGTTTAAAAATTAAAATCTTAAGAGCTCACTTCATTAATGCATTATGCATAGACTGGAGAAAAAGTATTAGGATGTAAGTTAAGACGACAATCGTTTTGGGTTTTTTCTCACAATGACAATCAAGTTTACATTTAACAATTTACTGGCTATCTAACATTATTAGGGTGGCTATCTGGGAAAAAACAACCCAAACTTGTTTTTCTATGATATTTAGGGAATATAACTACAAAATGATCCAGTGATTTGCATAAAGGTAGATCTACAAGTCTCTAGTCTCTCTTCATATTATAGATGTGGCTGAAAATCTGGCCTCATCTCACTTCTGCGAGGTACAACTAAGAGAAGCAAGTCTTCCTCCCCATCTGCAAGACACTGAGGATGCCCACGCAACTCATCAAAGCATTTCCCTCTTCCCCTGTTTTCATCCACCCACCAAATCTGTTTGATTTTCGCGTTCCTTCAAAAGATCCCTGGCAGAGTAAGATAACAAGCCTTACAACTGCATACAGAACATACATGTAAACAGTATTTCAGAGTCAAAATGGACCTTCATATCTTTTTGCTTAGAGCACACAGCTTTAAATTACATTCTGCATCAACGCTTAGTTACTGTACCTCATGAAGAACTTTTATATATTGTTATCTTACCCTGAAATTGACTCTGTTCCTGACTCGTTGTGCCAGGGCCGAATTTATAGCTTTATCAAACTGAAGTAGCACCTGAAGGGCCAGCTGAGGCGTGATTTGCTGTGACTGAAGTAGTTAAAAAAAAAAAAAAGTTTTGAGTTGCTTGAAAGTAAACTCAAAAATGCAGTAAAAATTAAAAACATCAAAATAAAGTTCACATGAAGCAGATCTCTAAAAGAACAATTTACAGAAATATTACGTGCCTATGTTTACTTCCTTTTTCCTATTTTAACTTTGAGAGAAGAACTGATGCGCTAACATAATTTTCTGTGCTACACAAATATTTCTTCTGAAAAACACTCATCACTGGAAACAACCATAAAAGCTGGAAACCGATTAGTGTTCCCAATTAATCTGGCTGTTCTAATCTGTTTTACTAGAAAGGTGGTGGTACAATCACAAAAGTACTGCCAATGGAGTACAAATAGCTTTTGATTGCAATCAGTAAGTTTCCAAACACTGGCCGTAAGCACCCCGATACAGCAACCCCAAAGCCGTTTTAGTAACTAAACTCTCTTTTTCTTAAGCTAACTGCCCTGACCCTAAAGCCCACGCACCTGTATGAGCTCATCCAGACTCTCCTGAAGACTGTTCCCCAGCGTGGTGTTTCTGTACAGCTGGTACGCCATGGCTCACCCAGACGGGCCGGACGCCTTCCTGGTCATCCACGGCACTCGACGCCTGTTAAGTCCTCGGTCTCAGATAAAACAAGTAAAAATATTTTTAAAAGCTAAAAACTGCAACAGAGCCCTTAACGTACAATGCACAGCAAGAGCAAACAGAATTTTAAAAATCATTCCGCAAGCACTGACCGACAACTAAGAGCGCTCAAGAGCACAAAGCGTTACGGCCCGGCGGCAGGGAGGGACGGAGGGAGCCGGGGCGGCACCGGCTAGGGACCCTCCCTGTCCGCCGCCCGTTCGGCTTCCAAACCGATCCCGTCCCC